TAGAGAATTCTTATGCGGGGTGAATATACTATCTACAGTACAGCAATAAACACAACATTGAAGTGCTGTGATTTGTTACCTGTTTCATCGTTGACATCCTGGTATAGTGGTAAACATCGTGGCTATCTTCGGCGAAAGTTGTGGACCATTCCCAGGTAAAAGTCTCGTAACTTTTCGTATAATTTTTTTTAAACTTTTTTTCCCATTATTTTTCCAAAAGTCTTCAAATAGCTCCACATAACAGCTTAATACTCATATTTTGATAATATTTTGTATATTTGGACAATTTTGAGTCGACTTGACCAACGATGACGAGGGCATGAACAACGATGTATAACGATGAAGAGAATCTTATGTAGGGTGAAATCCAAAAAATCTACATACAGCTAGTACAACGGGAAATAGAATATTTAAGTATTCACTATTGTAATTTGTTACCTGTTTCATCGTTGACATCCTGGTATAGTGGTAAACACCCTGGCCATAATGAGCGAAAGTTGTGGAGCATTCCCAGCTAAAAGTCTCATAAGTTTGCGTATAATTTTTTCATTATTTCTTTTTGCCGTTATTTAGTCTCCAAGTCGCTCTTCATAACAGCCTAATAATCATATTTTGATAATACTTTGTATATTTAGACAATTTCGAATCGATTTAACTGAACGACGCGATGTAGAGAATTCTTATGCGGGGTGAATATACTATCTACAGTACAGCAATAAACACAACATTGAAGTGCTGTGATTTGTTACCTGTTTCATCGTTGACATCCTGGTATAGTGGTAAACATCGTGGCTATCTTCGGCGAAAGTTGTGGACCATTCCCAGGTAAAAGTCTCGTAACTTTTCGTATAATTTTTTTTAAACTTTTTTTCCCATTATTTTTCCAAAAGTCTTCAAATAGCTCCACATAACAGCTTAATACTCATATTTTGATAATATTTTGTATATTTGGACAATTTTGAGTCGACTTGACCAACGATGACGAGGGCATGAACAACGATGTATAACGATGAAGAGAATCTTATGTAGGGTGAAATCCAAAAAATCTACATACAGCTAGTACAACGGGAAATAGAATATTTAAGTATTCACTATTGTAATTTGTTACCTGTTTCATCGTTGACATCCTGGTATAGTGGTAAACACCCTGGCCATAATGAGCGAAAGTTGTGGAGCATTCCCAGCTAAAAGTCTCATAACTTTTCGTATAATTTTTTCTTTATTTCTTTTTGCCGTTATTTAGTCTCCAAGTCGCTCTTCATAACAGCTTAATAATCATATTTTGATAATACTTTGTATATTTAGACAATTTTGAATCGATTTAACTGAACAACGCGATGTAGAGAATTCTTATGCGGGGTGAATATACTATCTACAGTACAGCAATAAACACAACATTGAAGTGCTGTAATTTGTTATCTGTTTCATCGTTGACATCCTGGTATAGTGGTAAACATCGTGGCTATCTTCGGCGAAAGTTGTGGTCCATTCCCAGGTAAAAGTCTCGTAACTTTTCGTATAATTTTTTTTAAACTTTTTTTTCTTTTATTTTTTCCCAAAGTCTTCAAATAGCTCCTCATAACAGCTTAATACTCATATTTTGATAATATTTTGTATATTTGGACAATTTTGAGTCGACTTGACCAACGATGACGAGGGCATTAACAACGATGTATAACGATGAAGAGAATCTTATGTAGGGTGAAATCCAAAAAATCTACCTACAGCTAGTACAACGGGAAATAGAATATTTAAGTATTCACTATTGTAATTTGTTACCTGTTTCATCGTTGACATCCTGGTATAGTGGTAAACACCCTGGCCATAATGAGCGAAAGTTGTTGAGCATTCCCAGCTAAAAGTCTCATAACTTTTCGTATAAATTTTTCTATATTTCTTTTTGCCGTTATTTGGTCTCCAAGTCGCTCTTCATAACAGCTTAATAATCATATTTTGATAATACTTTGTATATTTAGACAATTTTGAATCGATTTAACTGAACGACGCGATGTAGAGAATTCTTATGCGGGGTGAATATACTATCTACAGTACAGCAATAAACACAACATTGAAGTGCTGTAATTTGTTATCTGTTTCATCGTTGACATCCTGGTATAGTGGTAAACATCGTGGCTATCTTCGGCGAAAGTTGTGGTCCATTCCCAGGTAAAAGTCTCGTAACTTTTCGTATAATTTTTTTTAAACTTTTTTTTCCATTATTTTTTCCAAAAGTCTTCAAATAGCTCCTCATAACAGCTTAATACTCATATTTTGATAATATTTTGTATATTTGGACAATTTTGAGTCGACTTGACCAACGATGACGAGGGCATGAACAACGATGTATAACGATGAAGAGAATCTTATGTGGGGTGAAATCCAAAAAATCTACATACAGCTAGTACAACGGGAAATAGAATATTTAAGTATTCACTATTGTAATTTGTTACCTGTTTCATCGTTGACATCCTGGTATAGTGGTAAACACCCTGGCCATAATGAGCCAAAGTTGTTGAGCATTCCCAGCTAGAAGTCTCATAACTTTTCGTATAATTTTTTCTTTATTTCTTTTTGCCGTTATTTAGTCTCCAAGTCGCTCTTCATAACAGCTTAATAATCATATTTTGATAATACTTTGTATATTTAGACAATTTTGAATCGATTTAACTGAACGACGCGATGTAGAGAATTCTTATGCGGGGTGAATATACTATCTACAGTACAGCAATAAAGACAACATTGAAGTGCTGTGATTTGTTACCTGTTTCATCGTTGACATCCTGGTATAGTGGTAAACATCGTGGCTATCTTAGGCGAAAGTTGTGGACCATTCCCAGGTAAAAGTCTCGTGACTTTTCGTATAATTTTTTTTAAACTTTTTTTTCCATTATTTTTCCAAAAGTCTTCAAATAGCTCCACATAACAGCTTAATACTCATATTTTGATAATATTTTGTATATTTGGACAATTTTTTGGACAAGACATGAAAGAAGCGTATATGAGCGTGCTCATGAGACTCCAAAATACGGTATTTTCATAAGCACGCTAAAAGTTAATATTATGCTCTTTCGAATCTGATGTTCTATTGAATTTCAAGGCCCCTTGTAGCAAAAATCTTATTTTGCGCCCATCTGAAAATTGTATTTTTAGAATCTACGTTTAATAGGCTTTTTGACGATGCCTAATTCTTGCATAACAAGACAGTCCGTAATCGAAAAAGACGTGAAACAAGCATATATGCTTGAGCGTGCTCATGAGCCACCAAAATACGAGATTCTCATAAACACGCTTAAACAAGTATATATATGTATATATGATCGTGTTTATGAGACGCCATGCATACAAGTCATACTTACTAACTTGACTTGTACTTACTTGACCTGTTTGCTAACTATAATTTGACTGACTAACTAACTCGAAGACTTACTTACTAACTAACTTGACTTACTAACATAAAAAATATAACCATTGCACCAAGAGTCCTCATGGTCTAGTGCATGGTACCAAGAATTATTTCAGGACCGGTTTGGGAGTTTTTGACTTACTTATTGGATAGCTTAAGATCTACGACGTCGACGTCAGCTAGGACGTCAGGGCCAAGCGGAGGACTGGGACTAGGACGTCGTCCTAAATAAATAAACTTCCACTTAAGATTCACGACGTAGACATTTAAACTATAAATATTTACATCCTTCTGAAAATGAGTTAAAAAAGACGTGCGAACTATTACCGTTTGTTATGCTCTTTGTTATATCGTTTGTTATGCTCTTCGTTACTATCTCCGTCTGTTATGCTCCAACATGCAGTGTCCGAAATTGAAGAGTTGTCCGAGTCAAACCTTTTCAGATTGAATGAAAACAAATGCAAAGAATGGCGGATAGAGTTTGCGAAAAATAGAAATCCCTTTCCTCCTATTAAAATTAATGGTAAACCCTTACAAGTGGTGGAAGAAGCAAAATTACTGGGTCTTACTATCGCGAACAATTTGAAGTGGAATAGTCATGTCAATAACATAGTGACAAAAAGTTCCAAAAGGATTTACCTTTTAGTGCAGCTGAAACGAGCAAAAGTCGCAATTCAAGATGTTTTACAATTCTATACCGTATGTATCCGCCCCATTCTGGAATACGCTTCCACTGTTTCCACTACTCTTTACCTAAATACTTGAGTGATGAAATTGAACGAGTACAAAAACGGGTTCTTCGAATTGTATATCCGAACTTACATTACGAAGATGCATTGATGGAAGCTGGGATGGAGTCATTGTACGCTAGAAGGCAAATTGCCTGCAATAAATTTTTAATCAAATTTTAAATAAACCGAACCATAAACTTCATAATTTAATCCCTAAAATAGATACTTCATTAAATTACCAATTACGAAACAACAAGAAGATACATGTTCCGAAATTCTATACTGAACGTTTTAAGAATTCGTATGTCATCGCTAGTTGTTTAGACATAAATAATCGTAATTCAACAAATTAGTGTTAGTTTTAATATTAATAATCTTCTTAGTAAGCCATAGCATAGGTTGTAATTTTTTAAATGTAACATAATTTGTATTCAGTCTTATTTATATTGTAATCGCTTACCAATTCAGTATTTGTACTGCAAAAAGTGAATTATTAAACAATCTATATATTTATCATTTACGACGGTAAAACTCTTGTTGTGAGGTTGTCAACGTTTGGTGGACGATGAGCAAATAGAGCCGGTGAAATGCCGGTGAAATGAGCCGGTGAAATGAGCCGGTGCCTTTACACCCGATTTCATCAGACACGAAATCATCTATATAAATATCAAGATAAACATATGTGTCTTCAATGGGGAAAGTAAGCTCATTAAATTATCTTGGGACAATATTTTGAGTCCGCTACAAAATATGAGTTCAACTGGATTTGAACTCAAACGTTTATCGAAATAGGCCAAACGACCTACCACTAAGCCACCAGGGACGATCTGAAATTCTTGTGAAATTAAAGACAATAGTAGATTGTTGTGACGCGCTTATCTTATGCGGTGAAATAGTTTATTAGGCGGTGAATTGCGGTGAAGAATATAGGCCGTTCGCGGCAACTTAGAACGCCATGATGGCAGCAGTTTGCTTGCGATAGTAACTTCTAGTATTTTGCTTATACTTTATGTTGTATTTGAGCCAAAGTATACGGTATACCACACTCAATTTGACTCTTTAAACTATTTGGCAGCTTCTCTCAAACAGCCAAAAATAGTACGCGAGTTGAAATAAAACACCTCAAATAATATCGAACGGAATTAAGTGTTAGAAATGATTGGATCTCTTCGAGCCAGGTTCAACATACCAATATTTCCAACTACTTGCAAAGCGATTTCTCATATGAAGATGTAAAAAGAATAAAAACAGCTGGATAGAAATAAAAGGAAAAAATATTGAAAATATGAACTCGACGCGACTCGAACTCAAAGGTTTGTCGAGACAGTCCAAACGACCTACCACTAAGCCACCGAGGGAGAACGAAAGTTTATGTCAAATTAAACACTATAGCTAATTGTCGTCACGCGCTTATCTTATGCGGTGAAATAGTTTATTAGGCGGTGAATTGCGGTGAAGAATATAGGCCGTTCGCGGCAACTTAGAACGCCATGATGGCAGCACATTCCTTGCGATAGTAACTTCTAGTATTTTGCTTATACTGTATGTTGTATTTGAGCCAAAGTATACGGTATACCACACTCAATTTGACTCTTTAAACTATTTGGCAGCTTCTCTCAAACAGCCAAAAATAGTACGCGAGTTGAAATAAAACACCTCAAATAATATCGAACGGAATTAACTGTAAGAAATGATTGGATCTCTTCGAGCCAGGTTCAACATACCAATATTTCCAACTACTTGCAAAGCGATTTCTCACATGAAGATGTAAAAATAATAAAAACAGCTGGATAGAAATAAAAGGAAAAAATATTGAAAATATGAACTCGACGCGACTCGAACTCAAAGGTTTGTCGAGACAGTCCAAATGACCTACCACTAAGCCACCGAGGGAGAACGAAAGTTTATGTCAAATTAAACACTATAGCTAATTGTCGTCACGCGCTTATCTTGTGCGGTGAAATAGTTTATTAGGCGGTGAATTGCGGTGAAGAATATAGGCAGTTCGCGGCAACTTAGAACGCCATGATGGCAGCACTTTCCTTGCGATAGTAACTTCTAGTATTTTGCTTATACTGTATGTTGTATTTGAGCCAAAGTATACGGTATACCACACTCAATTTGACTCTTTAAACTATTTGGCAGCTTCTCTCAAACAGCCAAAAATAGTACGCGAGTTGAAATAAAACACCTCAAATAATATCGAACGGAATTAACTATTAGAAATGATTGGATCTCTTCGAGCCAGGTTCAACATACCAATATTTCCAACTACTTGCAAAGCGATTTCTCACATGAAGATGTAAAAATAATAAAAACAGCTGGATAGAAATAAAAGGAAAAAATATTGAAAATATGAACTCGACGCGACTCGAACTCAAAGGTTTGTCGAGACAGTCCAAACGACCTACCACTAAGCCACCGAGGGAGAACGAAAGTTTATTTCAAATTAAACACTATAGCTAATTGTCGTCACGCGCTTATCTTGTGCGGTGAAATAGTTTATTAGGCGGTGAATTGCGGTGAAGAATATAGGCAGTTCGCGGCAACTTAGAACGCCATGATGGCAGCACTTTGCTTGCGATAGTAACTTCTAGTATTTGCTTATACTGTATGTTGTATTTGAGCCAAAGTATACGGTATACCACACTCAATTTGACTCTTTAAACTATTTGGCAGCTTCTCTCAAACAGCCAAAAATAGTACGCGAGTTGAAATAAAACACCTCAAATAATATCGAACGGAATTAAATGTTAGAAATGATTGGATCTCTTCGAGCCAGGTTCAACATACCAATATTTCCAACTACTTGCAAAGCGATTTCTCACATGAAGATGTAAAAATAATAAAAACAGCTGGATAGAAATAAAAGGAAAAAATATTGAAAATATGAACTCGACGCGACTCGAACTCAAAGGTTTGTCGAGACAGTCCAAACGACCTACCACTAAGCCCCCGAGGGAGAACGAAAGTTTATGTCAAATTAAACA